AAAGTTGAGGTCAAAGGATATAGCTTCAGTGAAAGTGCAATGGAGAGGTCGGCCCGTGGAGGAAGCTACTTGGGAAACCGAGCGGGAGATGTAGAGAAGATATCCTCACCTGTTTGAGGCTTCAGGTATGTTTCTTGATTCGTTCGCAGACGAACATTTGTTTAAGTTGGGGAGGAAGTGACGACCCGGTCAGTCGTCTCATGAGTTACTACTCCGTTTTCCCTATTTCAGCTTCTTTATGCTTTGTTTATATATGTTATGTGATATTGGGTTGGTTGGATTGAATTCGGAATGATTTTGGTAAGGTTTGAGACACTTAGTCTCTTTTAAGGAAACTTAAGTTGGAAAAGTCAACCAGACGTTGACTAATGTGTTAGAAGACGCGGATGTGAGTTCCGATGGTTCGGTTAGCTTCGGGAGGTTATTTGGGACTTAGGAGCGCGATCGGAATGAGTTTTGGAGGTTCGGAGTAGATTTAGGCTTGAATTGGTGAAGTTGATATTTTGGCAATTTTCGGTTGGTAGGCGAGATTTTGATCTAGGGGTCGGAATGGAATTTCGAGAGTTTTAGTAGTTCCATTGTGTCATTTGGGATGTTTGTGCAAAATTGTAGGTCATTCGGATGTGGTTTGGTTAGGTTTTTGACAAAAGCAGAATTCGGAGGATTTTGGAACTTAGGCTTAAATCCGATGTGTTTTGGTTGATTTGATGTTGTTTGAGGTGTTTTGAAGATTTGTACAAGTTTGAATAAGGTTTTAGGATATGTTGGTGCCTTTGGTTGAGGTCCTGGGGGCCTCGGGTGAGTTTTGAGGGGTTGAACGGATCATTTTTAAGTTAAGAAAATTGCAGATTTTGGGTTTCAGCAATTGCAGGCATTTTGGTCTTCGCGTTCGCGAAGAGTCAGGAAGGGAGGCGTTAGGTTTGGCCTTCGCGTTCACGAAGGGGAGTCCCGCATTCGCAAAGGGCTGGAGTAGTAAGCATCGCGTTCGCGAGAGGCTTGGTCGCGTTCGCGTAGGTTGGTGAGGCTGAGGCATCGCGTTCGCGATGGTGGTGGTCGCATTCGCGAAGAAGAGTTTTTGGTCAACGGAATTTTTGTTCTTCGCGAATGCGTGGCTTTGACCGCATTCGCGAAGAAGGAATTTACGCCTGGGCAGAAGGTTTAAAAGGTTGTCTTGTCCGCGAATATGAGGTTATTTTCTTCCATTGTTGGCCGTTTTTGGAGCTTTTTGAAGGGGATTGAAGAGGGATTCAAGGGGAATCACTTGGAGGTAAGATTCTTGGACTTAAAACTCAATTCTAATGTGAATTCCACCTAGAAAATCATGGAAATTAAACCAAAAATTGAAGAACTAGGGCTTGGAAATTTAGATCTTTGATTGAGGATTTGAAGGACCATTTAAGGTCGGATTTCAGAAATTTTGATATGTATGAACTCATGGGGAGATAAAGAATCTATTGATGTAAAAATTATCGAATTCCGAGACATGAACCCGGGGATTGGGTTTTTGTAATTTCGGGATTTGTGTCGTATTTTGATTATTTTCACTTGGGCTTCGTTCCCTTAGCATATTTTGACGTCCTCGTTCTAATTTTGGATAGATTTGATGTGAGTGGAGGCCGATTCGAGGGGCAAAGGCGTCGCGAGCTAGAGATTTGACCGGTTCGAGGTGAGTAATGATTGTAAATGATGTTCTAAGTGTTTGAAACCCCGGTTTGCACATCCTAGTGCTATATTGAGGTGAGGTACACACTTAATGACGAGCGTGGGTCGTGCACTATTGGGGATTGTGACTTGGTCCGTCCCGATTGATGATTTTACCGCGTATTTGACTGAAATCTATTTGTTGTCATCATTATTTGGGCTGAATGCCATATTTGGGCCTTGTGCCAACTATTTGAATCCTTCGGAAATTTTTACTGGTATTTCCTCACTGTTTTGACTTTATACTTGAACTCAATCATGTTATATTTCTCTGTTTTTCGTACTCAACCATGTTTACTCTGTTTTAACACTTACATGATCTTTTAAATGATATTTTGGGCTGAGAAACATGTTTTACTACTGCCCGGGTGGCTTGTGAGGATTTTGATTGAGTTAGACCGAGGGCCTATGTTTTGAGGAAACATTTGATATTGATTATGAGGTCGAGGGCCTGAGATATGTACGCCACGAGGTGGCTTGATTGATGTGAGACCGAGGTCATAGTGATGATGCCACGAGGTGGCTTGATATTGCACTTGGGCCGTAAGGGGTCCCTTCAGGAGTCTGTACACCCCCAGTGAGCGTTGGTACCCATTGTGATGTGAGATTGAGCCCGAGGGGCTGGTATTGTTCTATGTGATTGCCCGAGGGGCTGGTACTGTTCTGAGATGTTGCCCGAGGGGCGGATTTGTTGATATTGTGCCCGAGGGGTGAACCTTTATGTGTTTACTTTTCATAATTGATTGTGAATTACCTGCTTAATTATTAAAAAAGGCTTTTCATGAAACTGCATTTGAGTTAAAGAATTTTACCTATCTTTCACTGGCTTACTATTTTAATTGTTTTACTGCTTCATTATAGAATGCTTTGTGCCGTACGTGATTTCTTGCTTTCAGTATTTATTTACATTTGTTACTCACTGAGTTGGAGTACCCACTTTACTCCCTGCACCCCTGTGTGCAGATTTAGGCGTTGCGGATCCTGCTAGTGCGAGTTGAGAGCTCCCGGCAGATACCAGAGTCCATGAGGTAGCTGCTTGACTCCGCAGTCCCGTGTTTCTCCTCCTTTATCATTTCTATCTCTTTTCAGACATTTGTACTAGCTTATAGACTTACCAGACTTGTATTATGACTTATAGATGCTCATGACTAGTGACACCCCGATATCGAGCTGTGTTGGGTTGTTCTTCCACGTATTTATGATATTATCTGCTACTTTGAACTATTTTTATCATGTTTCGATTGCTTCTCAAATGCTTAATCGTTAATAAATTGGAAAATGGGAAGTGTCGGCTGGCCTTGTCTTCACGAGAGGCGCCATCACGACCGGGTCCGGGTTTAGGGTCGTGACAACTACTCTCTCGTTATCTATTAACAGATGATGCTAAAATAAATTGTTGATTTAAGTTGACTTGGCAAAGTTTCTTAGTCAGATTTCCTTCAACTTTTCTCCATTTGTCTATTATTTCTTAATTATTTAAGAATTGCATAATTCTTTGTTTATTTTATTATTTCAGGATCAAATTAGTTCACTTATCTAGAAACTACATATAAATTCAACTGTACCATTTTACATGTAAACAGTTTAGTGCCCACCGTGGGGCCTAAACAGTCGTGCAACTAAATTGATCCTTGCCTTTTTTTTTACTAACGTATTTTAACTATTTTGTCTTCGAAAAAACTCATAAGAAATGGCAGATAACACTGTTAATGACACACACAACCCCAAGATTCGAGGAAATCAGCCTCATTTCGAGGACTTAATCAGTGACACCCACAACGAGGGGAATGGCGTCATACCGGTGCATGATAGGAAATATCCTCGACATGTTCGGGAGAAAACTCTCGATGATGCTGATGAGGAACATGTTGTTGATGTGGTAAGGGTCTTGCAAGAGCAGTAGATGATCATTCTAGGCCACCTCACGCGACAGGATTAGGTTATGACGGAGTTGAAGCAGACGCTGTCAAGGGCCTTGAACAACGCAAATAGACGAGATCCAATTCCTCCCGGTGTTCCCGCAAACCAAACAGCGTAGAGGGTTGACAACAACACTCCTCGGGGTGAAGTTGGCTCCGATGAGGCTGGGGGAAGCGGATCCGGCCTCAATACATCCTTTTAAGAATGAACTTTTACGATTTATGACCAAACTGACCAAACCCTGGGTGCGCCACCAGTGCTAGAAGACCCAGATTCAAAGAAGTATACTCAATTGCCATACAAGCTAAGTGCGACACCAAAATTAATACCCAAGCGGTTCAAAATGCTTGAAGTGCCAAAGTATGACGGAACTTTAGACCCTCAGGAACATATTACCACCTACACAACAGCAGTGAAGGGAAATGATTTAACTCCTCATGAAATTGAATCTGTGTTGCTAAAGAAATTTGGAGAAACTCTCACAAGGAGAGCCTTGACGTGGTATTCATTATTACCCGGGCATTCCATAGATTCCTTTGAAATGCTCGCAGACTCACTACAAAAAAAACATTGTAATAATAGCGGTTACTTTAGCGGGTTACGACGGGTTTAAACCGCCGCTATAAGCATTAGTGGCGGTTTCACGAAACGCCGAAATTACGTCCGCCAAAATGTTATTATGGCGGTTTTCGATTGAATGCCAGAATTGAACCCTCCATAAAATGGTGGTGTACAACCGCCACAATTGTCTCTTTAAAAGTCAGTTTGCACCCGCCATAATTGTTGTCCATTTGTAATTAATTATTACAATTTTTGTTCATTACATATATTTATCCTTTCAATTGCATGAAAGCTTGTCTATTACTTGTAGCAGTTTTGACACAAATATAAGAGAACGATTACTTATATAAAACACATTTTGTACATAAAAACCATAAGAACTTCAGAATTGCACCATCAAATGCATTAAAATTCATGGAGTAATATTTTACATCAATTCAACATAACGGAAAAAACAGTAATGAATCCTAGAAATACATTCAATGAACACTCAATCCGCATAGTTATTTCCATAGAGTGATCTTCTTAGGCTGCTAGATGACGTGATGCAATTTTCTATATCTTGTGCCAATAGAAGTAACAATTGATAAGTAACCAAAACTCAATCATGATTGATACACAGGATGGTAGTAACTAATAGGTATAACGTAACTACATTTTCACAAATGGTGAAATTTTCTTTAATACAACTAAATATATTAGACTCTCTTTGCTCTCATAATTGCACACATAGCACATGAAAATCAAAGCCTTCAATAAACAAACCAAACCAAAATAGGAGAAAGGTGATATAGTTATCCTTTGAGTTAAAACGCAATGAGACTCGAGAAACTTATGCACACTGTGCAGCCTTGCTCCACTTGCAATATCCGAGCTGCATACGCAGCATTATCTGCAGATTGGACCAAGCTTCAATTAACACTCAATTTCCATTCGTACAACATGTTCTCATCCACACATGATTTATGGTGTCCCTAGTTTACAGATAAAAAACTAATTATCAAGAGAACAATCACTCAAGCAAACCCCAAATCAATTAAAAGATTATCCACATATAGGTAATTGAAAAGAGAAATCGATTATGATCCTCTTCGCAATCAATCCCCAAAACTGATATCACTTAACAATTAATAAATATTGAGACTAATAATCAATAGATAACACCATTTCCAACAATTGATTTTTTCAGTGACGCATGTTATCGAACAGTCTGTGCGCATCAAATCATCATATTCTATTTGAGAGATTTGAGGGTTAGACTACTCCCCTAATTACAGCAAGAAGAGAGCGATCCATGGCTTGAGCTAGTTGAGAGAGAAGTAATACAATTACCTAAGAAATATTGTTATCATCAATAGTTCTGAGGCATTCAATGAATTTTCTTGCTGATTTATTCAAGTTCTTCATTCCTGCACCATAATAGTTTAAGCTAGTGATGAATATAAACTCGCAATAAGACAAACATATATTCCTTTTACAGTTTCCAAAGATCGACGAAAATAACAATTGGACCAGTCACAAGGTCACATATATCTCACTTAATTTAATAGTTAGCCAACATACCATACTCCTTGCACATCCAGAATAGTTGTGCTTGTATCAATGCACTTTTTGGCTACCCCTGTATAACCTGAGTAAGGATAGTAAAGTGGTAGATCAAACAAGCAAAAGATTACCTTCTATTAGAATGTTGTATGCCCCTTTATAACCAGATCCGTTAAGGTAAAAAATTAAATCTCACAAAAACATCCATATCATTTTGATCTCACATAATTTTGTCGGGTATAAAAAGAGAAAATCCAAGACAAAATGCAAAAGCAACAAAATGGAAGATGACAGACTAACAGAATATATCCTAAGGAAATTAAGAACCAAAATAACAACTGGTGTAAAAATATGTTAAGGTACATTGATGGTGTAAAAATTCATTGCACTGTCAGTATATATATTTTATATTGTTGTTAAATTACTAATTTTACTTATAATGAACAATAATTATTTGTAGGTGACCTGATAGTATAAATTAAAAAGTTACCTAAAATGAATGATTTCTACTTACCTTTTGACCCCAGGCAGTACCGAATTCATATCCACAGCTTTCAATTTGTTGTGCTTCCTCAATGAAACTTGAGAGGGAATCAGAATTAACTTGCTCAATATTATTTGATCCTGCTGAAAGAGTTTGAGCAACTGATGCTAATAACTTCTTTGATTTATCATAAGTTTTCGGTAAATAATCATCCCTCAATTCTCCTAATTATCATGAAACAAGTTTAATGTTAAGCAACTGTAAAATGAACTCTTTGAAAATTCTCAACAACAACAATAAGACCTTTAATAGCAAAAATCTACTACGGGGCGGATGGATAGTTTTTGGCTCTATAGCAAAATTCCCACCAGGAATTAAGTTTTCTATAGAATAAAGGTTATCCGACCGTTCACAAGTACAAACCATTAAAAGATTTTTAGATAGTCTTTTGCTCGATATCATAAATTTCTAAGGGGAAGCGAAGTTTGTTACCGAGCATAAGATTGTCTAGCAATTCATTAATGGAGTCCTCAAAGGTACAAGACTTCTAGTGTTCCAATTCGTATTCTTCACATTCGAACACTGGGAGGGAGGGGGGAATAAAATGAGGACACAACAACAATGACTGCCACATCGACCGGGAAACAAAAAACCGAAAACATAATTGCATCATCGGGGTAGGGGACTGCGCGGCCAACCCCATAGAAACAAGTTGTACAAGATAGCCACAAGAAATGGCAATTCCTTTTCAGTATAGCAAATGCTTATGTACTTTTGAAAATAGAAGGAATTAAATGAAATGAAATCCTTTTGCTTTTATCTTGTTTCTTGTTTGAACGATGAATTAACTTTGTCATTTGAAAGTTAAACAAGTACTTCAAATGCTAGTGCCGTAATGAACAGGAGACGTCCTCTTCAATAGCACCATAAACATAAGAGGGCCCTATCTTATGAAAACTCTCGCGTTAAAGTGTTGGTTTCGAAAGATTTTATGCTCGGAATCAAAATACCCGAGGACTTATACAAAAGGACACAAAAAGTAAAGTTGCACAAATACTTATAGACGCCCTCACAAAAAAGATTTGATGCCCGGAACCAAAATGTTTTTGGGAAAAATACATCCAAGGCTACACATAATAAATCACATATAGGAAAACTTGCGCAAAGTCCTTAAGCAAAAGGAATAAAATGCAAAGATTAAAAACTTGCATGGATATTCAAACGGAAGTAAGGCTCAAACAATACTTGAGCAAAAAGATGTCTCTGTTTACAAAAACATGCCAAAATGATACAGGTATAGGAATTGGAAAAAGAAAAAAAAGCTAAACTACAGTATCTCCGGAACCAGGAGGAAGAGACATGTCCACGCCCCTGGGAGAAGTAGATGGATCCACCGATAGCTCGACATTATCACCAGTTTGGCCTTCACCGTCATCGTACTCTAATTCTTCTTTAAATATTGAGAACTCGAAACCGAAACCAGAAGGACCAGGAGCTTCAGGCTGCAGTGGGAGTCCATTCTTAGCAGCTAACTTAAGCTCGTGAGCCTTAGCGTTTCAGCATCAAAATCAATGATATGAGCTTTGGTCTCTTCCAAGGTTTTTCTCCTCATGTTGTATATAACATAAGTTTTCTCAACAACGAGGGAAGACGCCCGATGCTTAAGGTCTTCTTTGAGTTGAGCTACCTAGGCAGAAAGGCTTTCCCAGGCGGACCTAACAGATCTGAGGCTAACATCAAGGTCACAGACAGTTGAACTAAAGAACCTATTATGCTCGATAATTTTTCTCTACTTCTCCTCCAACTAGGCATGTTTCGCCCCCGAAGCAGCAAGCTCTTTAGTTTTGGAATTCTAGGCTGCCTCCAAATTATTCAATCTTTCAGCGGAGGCTACCTCACGATCAGATACATCAAGAATGAAATTATGGACTTCAACCCAATTAGCTTTAGCTTCTTCAAATTGAACCCTTAACGGGGCGATCTCCTGGATAAGGGTTTTCTCTTCTTGCTCGCTTTGCTTCAAATGAGCTTCCAATACAACGACCTTAGTGGTCTTGGCTTCCAGTTCCGAGAGGCGAGCGGCACTTTGCTCCCGCTCTGCCAAAAACTGATCCCGTGCAGAAGTTATTTCTTCCTTCTCACGAATCAACCTCTGAAGGCCCTTAGAAGCAAGAAAGTTGGCATGAAAAGCAAGAAAGTTGAAACTCAGAATACATTTACAAAAATAAAGGAAATAATAAAGGAAGAAATGAGCGTACCACTGCGGCATTATGCATGGAGTTGTTCAACAAACACTCTCTCGAGAGTGCCTGAATATTTTCCCAATCTTCTCTGAAGCCAAAGGCTTCAGATTATTAGCAAGCTCTATCGGCCAGGATAACAAGTTGTATCCAGTAGAAACAGAAAGAGTAGCATTCCTCCTCCTTGTGGATCTTTAGAAGGGGCAACATAATTCTGCCCCAAGATCCCATGAACTGGGGAAGAGGAACATGTTCTTCATGGATAGATGTGGCCGGTGGGGATAATGTAGCAGTTGTTGGTGGAAGAGCGGATGAAGATGGAAATGATGTAGCAATTGCTAGTGTTGGTGAAAATGGAAAAGAAGGTGATGGAGTTGAAGAATAAGAAGCAGCTGCATCAAATGTAGTGCTCGTTGTTAGATGCTCGCCAAGCAAAGACGACAGGGACTCGGTATTCAACCCTGCAGCACTGGACACAACAATTGGGGTGGGAGTTGGCATTTTCCACCAAATCACACTCTCCCCAAAGTGTCGAGACATCATCCTCGGTTGGTATAACTAACTCAACAGATTGAGTATTCTGTTAAGTTGATGATGAACGTTGCCTTCTGTGTAGAGAAGCCTCATCATCACTAGCTTCTCCATCATCATCGATCATCATGGTGTCTATGACCGGCCCGGGAGGATGTCTAGTATCACACCTTCTGGAGATGACTCGTGGTCAATAATCTTTGCCCTCTTATTTTTTTCCCGACCACGAAAGAACGCTTTTTTTTGGTTGCTTGTTCTCTGGACAAGGACTCCGTGGTAAAATACCTATGCTCAAAGTAGGTCCGGAGACACATGTTTGAGTAAGCACCTCCTAAAGCAGCATCGCCGCATCAGCAGGATCATCCAAGACATCCTCCTTGGGGACAACAACAGAGCCTGCAAGTAGACCCGATTTCAAGAAAAAGATAGAAAGGATCAATCAAGTTCTTCACATGAAAAATTGAAACAAGGTGAGATTGAATTACTATGATTTTTGTCCTTCCTCCCATATTTAGGGGCTAGTTCTTTCCAATAACGAGTTTCGGGTATCGTAACTTCCAAAATCTTCTGAACCCACCGGTCTAAACCTTCAACCACCCTTGGGATCCATCGAGTTACTGAAACAAGCGAACGATGAAGGATTGATATGGATGTGGAAGAATATTTAGAAAGGAAATATTAAATAAAGATTGTCATCGTCCATGCTAGACAACAGAGCATGGTGGCCATGTTTGCAGAGGTTTCTCATTCCTCTGCGAAAGATCTTGGGAGAGTAGATATTTATTATATGAGTTAATGTTAGCTCTTCTCCACTCTCCTGGCACAAACACCATAGGCAAGCAACCGTCCTCCATATAGAAGGACTTACTTTTGCCAAACACACTTGGTAATGGAGGCAAAACTCCGCAATCACATAATCAAGCTATCTGCTCAAAGAAAATACACCCAAAGTAAAGGGATACATGTAAAAATATGTAAAACCCTTCTTGGGTAGGGTCACTCGCTCCGATAGATCAGGAGCAATAATATCTAAATTATGGCAGCGACAGTCTTCCTTCACAACAGGAATGCTGGAAGGACGGATGAAAGAAAGGTACCTACTGACGGCCCATGTACGAAAGTTAGCAGTAGGGAATTTTTCTTCGAAGACTTTTATGGTAATAAGACTTCTAAGGATAATGGAGTCCACTGTTAGAGGAACAGATTCCTCGGCCTTGTTCTTGTTCTTTTGAAGAACTGGTGCGCTTTGAGGAAGAAGCCACTATATGGAAGAAGAAGAAGATTTTTTGTTTGAAGAAAATTAGAGAGAAGATGGAAAATAAAGATGCAAATCAGATAAGGGAAGCTTGGAAAATTATGGAGTATAAGAGAGAAAGTTGATGCATATAAGCAAAAGTTTTGGCGGCTAAATTCATGGCCATGATCACCTCGATAATCAGAAAATGTTATGCTGAATCATGGGATGACGCGTGTTCAGGGCATTAAACGCGGAGAGACGTGCACCTAATCAACCATTAGAAACCTTCAGAGGAAGTTATAGTAATTCCCGCCAAAAGAATATTTCTATCAACTTCCTGGTAACACAAAGTTGTGTCACCAGAAAGTAGGGGGACTATCTGTATTGGGTAAAATACGTTATACCACGTGACCGTCCTAAAAAGGGACATGTGGAACCTAAGACGGTGGGAATGTCCAAGATCGAAGGCAACTGCTCCGTCTGTCACAGGGGAGAATAACGCTCATAAGGATGTAACAAATATTCGTTGCCCGGTAGCATTTAATAAAGAATATTCCATAGTATTAAATACGACTGCCCGTCACAAGAAATTTGGCATTTATGCTCAACGTTACATCTTGATCAATGGACCTCATAATTGACATTAAAGAGGGGCATGATCCTAGGACCTCCTTCCCTAGACGTAGCTATAAATAATGAGCTCAGCTATCATTATAATGGTCAGAAATTTTCTAGCAAACTTACACTACATTCTATACAAAGCTTCATACAATCTTACTTTCTCACTTTTGATTTCATTATTGTTATGCCCGAAAACCATGTTCCCGAAATTGTTGCTTCTGTCGTTCCGTCTACATTTTATGGCTAAGTATTGCATAATTCTTTATTTATTTTATTATTTCAGGATCAAATTAGTTTACCTATCTAGAAATTACGTATAAATTCAAATGTACTGTTTTATAGATAAATAATTAATATGTAAA